GCTGATAGAATCTTAGATTACATGGAACATTGTAGCAAGTGCTTAATGAATATTAGTGATCAAGATAATGATGATCGTAGAGTTTTCCTAATTCATTCCAATCAAAGCTCGTATCATGGAAACTTTGCTCTATGCAAAAGAGGAGTTAAATTCCCACGTATCACAGTGGATTCATTGATTTTTCCTTTGATGTTCTATTAGTTTTTTTGTGTCATGCTGTTTTGATACTCTATTGGGTATGTATACATTAATGATTATTAGTCTTCTTGGAGCATTGATCCCTTTATCATTACATAATGCTCCTGTTCATCGCTGACAACTTTCCTTGCTCTGAAAGTTATATAGCTCTGTCTGAAATTAATATAGCTACTCCTACTTTCCTTTGATTTGTGGGAGCATGGTATATGTTTCTCTATCCCTTTCCTTTAATCTATATGTGTCTTTGTGTTTAAGATGGGTTTCTTGTAAACAACGTAGAGTTAGGTCTTGTTTTTCCATCTACTCTAAACATCTCGGTCTTTTTATGTGTGTATTTAGACTATTGATGTTTAAAGTGATTATTGATATAGTTGGATTAATATCTAGTTGTTGTTATTGTTTTCTACTTGTTGCTCTTGTTTGGTGCTATTTTTGTCTTCCACTCCCCCCCCCTTTTTTTGACTTTTATGGTTTTAACTGAGTATTTTATATGATTCCATTTTCTTTCTCTTCTTAGCATATCATTTATACTTCTTTGTTTAAGGTTCCCCTAGAGTTTCTTATTTGTTCCCCTAGAGTTTGAATAATGCATTTACAATCAATCCAAGTCCACTTCCAAATAACACTCTACCACTTCGTGGGTAGTGCGAGTATTTTATAACAACAAAATATCCCTAATTTCTCCCTCCCATTCCTTGTATCTTTACTGTCATTCATTTCATTTATACAGAAGTATTCATGTACATGTATACCTCATTTTACTGTGCTTTGAAGATGCAGATTTTTTTTTTTTACATATTGAAGGTTTATAGGCACCATTTTTCCAACAGCATTTGCTCACTTTGTGTCTCTGTGTCCCATTTTGGCAATTCTTACAATATTTCAAAATTTTCCATTATTATTATATTTGTTATAGTGATCTGTGATCAGTGATTGTAATTCGCTGAAAGCTCAGAAGATGGTTAGTATTTTTTAGCAATAAAGTATTTTTGAATTAAGGTATGTACAGTTTTTTTTTAGACAATGCTATTGCACACTTAATAAACTATAGTATAGTTAAGCAAAACTTTTATATGCACTGAGAAACCAAAAAATTCATTTGACTCATTTTATTGCAATATTTGCTTTATTGCAGTGGTCTGGAACAGAACCAGCAATATCTCTGAGGTATGCTTGTGTATACATAAGTATATACTTATATATAAGCATATATATGTACATATATATGTACATATATGTACATTCCTATGTCATATACATAGGAATACATAATTGAATACATTGTTATTATTTTGAACGGACTGTTATCAGTTTAGATCAATTAAGAATAAAAAATAGAAGTTTTTACTTTACTTTCACTTTTTCATTCTCTGATACTCTTCCTTTCTTTATGTAGATTTGAGTTTCTGACCTAGAACATTTCCTTCTCGCTGAAGAACTTCTTCTAATATTTTTTTTTGCAAGCTGCATCTACTGGCAACAAATTCCCTCAATTTTTGTTTGAGAGAATCTTTATTACTCTTTTACTTCTGAAGAATAATTTTGCAGGTTACAGAAGTCTAGATTGGTGTTTTTTTTTTTTCCTTTTCAGCACTTTATTATTTTTTAAATTTTATTTATTTATTTGAGAGAGAGAGAGAGAGAGAGAGAGAGAGAGAGAGGGAACAAGCATTGGGGAGGGGCAGGGGGAGAGGAAGAAGCAGACTCCTTGTTGAGCAGGAAGCCCCATGTGGGACTAGATTCCAGGACCCTGGGATCATGACTTGAGCTGAAGGCAGACACGTAACTGACTGAGTCACCAAGGTGCCACTCCTTTCAGCACTTTAAATATTCACCGTACTTGCTTGCATGTTTCTAAAGGGAAGTCAGATAGAATTCTTATTTTTGGTTTTCTATATGAAGGTGTCCCCCCCACCCCCGCCCCTGGGTTCTTTCAAGATTCTTTCAAGATTCTTTCTTTGTATTTGATTTTCTGTAGTTTGAATATGCTATGCTTAGGTGTAGTTTGTGTGTGTGTGTGTGTGTGTGTGTGTGTGTGTGTGTGTGTGTGTGTTTCCTGCTTGGTGTTCTCTGCGCTTCCTGGATCTGTGGTTTGGTGTCTGACATTAATTTGGGAAAATTCTTTCAGTTGTTACTGCTTCAAATATTGCTTCTGTTCCTTTCTCTCTCTCTTCTCCTTCTGATATTCCCATTACCCATATAGTGTGTCTTTTAGTCCATGGTTCTTTGATACTTTGTTCTACTTTTTCTAATCTTTTCTCTTTGCTTTTCAGTTTGGAATTGTCTTTCTTTCTTTCTTTTAAAGATTTTATTTATTTATTTGAGAGAAAGAGAGAGATAGCAAGAGAGAGCAGAGCAGGAGTGGGGGCAGAGAGAGAAGCAGGCTTCCCACTGAGCAGGGAACCCAACACAGGGCTTGATCCCAGGACCCTGGGATCATGACCTGAGCCGAAGGCAGACACTTAACCAACTGAGCCACTGAGGTGCTCCCAGTTTGGAAGTTTCTATTGTCATATCCATAAGCTCAGAGTTTCTTTCTTCAGCTATGTTCATTCTACCAACGAGCCTTCAAAGATGTTCTTATTTCTGTTTTAGTATTTTTTTGTAAAGATTTTATTTCTTTATTTGACAGAGAGAGAGCACAAGTAGGCAAAGCGGCAGGCAGAGGTAGAGGGAGAAGCAGGCTCTCTGCTGAGCAGGGAGCCCCGACGCAGGGCTCTATCCCAGGACCCTGGGATCATGACCTGAGCTGAAGGCAGCTGCCCAACGGACTGAGCCACCCAGGCACCCCACTGTTTTAGTATTTTTAATCGCTAGCTTTTCCTTTTGATTCTTTCTTAGAATTTTCATCTCTCTGCTTACATTTGTTCTTGCAAGCTGCTTACTTTTCCCATTAAAGCTCTTAGGATACCAATCACAGTTTTTAAAAATTCCTGGTCTTATAATTTCAACAATCTTGCCATATCTGACTCTGGTTCTGATATTTGTTTAGTTTCCTCTAATGGTATTTTTCGCCTTTAGTATGCCTGGTAATTTTTTGTTGAAAGGCATATATAATGTACGGTGTAAATGAAACTGTGGTACATAGGTTTTTAGTAATGTGGAGTTAAGGTATAGTTGGAGGAGAAGCACTCTATAGTCCTATGATTATATCTTAGTCTTTTGGTAAACTTGTGCTCCTGGACTATGAATGTTTTTTCCCCTTGAGGTGGGACAGGATGGCCAGAAGGGGCTGAACTTGTGTATTTCTCTTCCCCAACATAAAAAGCTAGAACTGGCCAGAGTTGGGTATTTCTTTTACCCTATGTAGGTTAGGCTCTGATTAAACCCCAGCAGGTTAGAGTCGGGTAAAGTAAGCTCTTTCCAGGGCAGGTCTTGTTAAGAAGAACAGAATGCTTTGGCATATCTCAAAATGATTCCTTTTCTTTTCCCCTGCTGGAAAAAAGAACATTTTTCTCTAATATTACTGTGAGGCCCTGGTAGAGCTCCTAGAGGCAAAACTCACAAAAGTGTGGACCCCCCAAGACTGAGTCCTTGCAAAATTTTGTCTCTCAGCATTGTCCACCCTGAAGCTCCAGAAATTCTTCAATTACAGTTCCAATTTTCCTATTCTGACACTGGTTTCCATGGCAGTTTCTGCTTTGGTACGTGGAGGTTGTCTGTATTTGCCTGTCTGTCTCTCCAGTTTTGAGGGTAGCAGGTTGCCCTCTGTCCTCACTCCACTGGTAGATCTAAGCTTAGTGATAGATTTTTCAGTTTGTTCAGTTTTTTTTACCCATTGTTAGGACAGAGTGAAGACTTTTGAGTTTCTTATGTGCTGGACCAGAAACCAGAAGTTCATGTCTTTGTAAAAATCTTTTTCAAACTGTATCTGTAGTAAAACCAAACATAGATATAAAAGAATCCACCAAAGAGTATCTAGACCCTCTGTTACTGGTTAAAATTGGGGGGAAATTCTTTGGTGGAATTACTGGAATCTTTTGGGTCTGATGCTCTGGGGAAGAACTTGGGGCAGAAGCAGAGGTGATGCCTCTGATATTTTAGGAATCTAAAAAAATGTTCCTTCCAAAGTCATTAATCTAACTCTCATGAATTAATTATACTTTTAGCTGATTTTCTGTGTCCATAAACAAAGAAGGACTTACTGTTTGAAGGCCTCTGATGAATAAGCAGAACTTAAAGAGCAAGAATTGGAAGCGTGCTGATGTTGAGATGCTGTTCCTGGGAGCTCCAAAGTTTCTGCAAGTTTCTTAAGAAATACAGCTAAGTAAAAGGTGGAAAACATTGTAGTTGCCTTGCTTTCTTTCACTGTCTGTATTGAAGATGTAATGAAAAAGTCATTCGTTTATGATAGTCTTATATTCATGGGTTTGGTAGGAATGACTCCAAAATGCTTCCCAATCCAGTAAAGACGTCAAAGTCCAACAAAGGCCCAGAAATGAATAAAAATTACTAAAAGTTACACTTTTTAAAAAGTCTCAGAGAAGGTATTTATCTGAAAAGTCATAGATTGATATAGATAAAAATTAATATTGTCCTTCCCAGTTAGCATTTGATAGATGCTTAAACAGTGAATGTCTGATGAAAATTTAGTTTTTATTTCGATTTCTAGTTAAGTTCATTTTCTCATGTTTCTGAGGCAACTAGTATAATATGGTGGTCGAGGGTGTAGCTCAGGAGTGGTTTGTGTTTCTGACCTTGGGGAAGTTGCTCAGTTTGCTCATCTGGAAAATGGTGATGCTGGGAGACCTTAGAGCCTACATGAGTACCCACTGGGATAGTTCACGTAAAAAGCTCAATAGATGTTGGCTATTTTTATTTCTATAAAAAAACCCCCATCATTCAGAGACACAGTGTTGTGCAGATTATTGTGATTATTGAAGGACATTGGAGAAAAGCATAAACTCTCAGTGTTGACAGAAGAGTTGACAGTTGGCCGCTTTTCTTAAAATATGTTCCCACTCTGTTTCATTTCTGAAGAAAGTGTTGAATCTCTCCTTCATGTCACCCATCCCTGCAGGTGGGCACAGCTCCAGGAGTGCACAGCCGGCCATCCCTAGGCCTGGTGGAAATGAAGAGAGACCAGGGGAGATAGAAGCAATTTCAGAAACGGGGAAAAGGCAGTAAGGAAAAAGCTGGAGAATGCTGGAGTAATCTTACTTTTCCTACAAAAGGTACAAAAGGGGCTGGCACAGTTTTCTTAAATGTTTGACACTAGAGGTCAACAAAATTTCTCTGTTAAGGGCCAGCTAGTAAATATATTTGGCTTGTTGGGCCATATGGTCTCTAGCACAACTACTCAGCTCTTCCTGTAGCACAAAAGGAGACATATATGATACATAAAAACTGATCATGGCTGTGTTCTAATAAAATTTTATTGACAAAAACTGGTTGTGAGCCATAGTTTGCCAACCCCTGATCTAGAGCACACCTGAGGGTAATGCAAAGCATTCATTGTTTTTCCCATAAAGTTGCCTCAGAAAAAATGTGGAGACTCTCTTTTCCCCTCTAATATCCCTTCCTCTTTTTACTCCACACATTTCTTACCCCAGGGCCTTAGGTTCATTCTGGTGGTGACCACGGTGACTATGGTTTGTGCAGGAGCATGGCAGTATCTGTGTCCAGGCTCAGCCCTCCCACAATCTCAGAGGGGAGCTCCTACAAGACAAAGCCTCCTTTTTACACTGATAGCTTTGCATTAACTTTAATATCTCATTCCATTAAAAGACACTCCCTGTCAGGGTAAGAAAATGGGAAATGAAGAGGGTGAGAGATTCGGAAAGTTCCAGAATCTGAGGCTTAATTTAAATGATACTCCCTGGCATCCCACTCAAAGTATTTCTACCAAACACAAGCTGTGTCCTCACGCAGGGAGAGACCCATGTCTCCAGACCCTCCTGGACTTGAGGGGGAGTCCCCAGCCTGCTCATAGCTTCCTCCTGTGTCTCATTTCCCTGGGAGCTGGATTCATTTTTCATTTTTTGGTTATAAAGTTTTATTCTGATTTCTTAGGCTTTATCTGCCTGTCAGTCTTAAAGTCTTACTTCCATTGCAGCCAAGAACACTGGAGTCCTGTCACAAACTTGTTCTGGGTTCCAACATTTATCAGGTGGACATGAAGAATGGGCTAGATGAGGCTTTGCTACAGATAAAGAATCTGCATCTTTTAAGATCTGTAGAAGAAGTGCTCATTTTCCATCCTTTCTTCATGGCAGCTAGCCCCGTGTCTTATCCTCAGTAAATATTTGTTGATGGTATTTTGAGGGCATGGCAACTGTGACTATATCCCTCTGTATATTTGTTCAACAAAAGGCTGCTTTTTCTAGTTCCAGAAACAGAACTGAAGCAATTTTTTTTTTCAAGAGAACAGGGTTTTGCATAGAGACATAGACTCTCAGAATAAAACAAATCTACTTTCTTGAGACTCATAGGGGAAATGGTGGGGAGGTGTTGAGGATCTTTAGGGGAGTTAAGGGTTACAGTTTCTTTTCATTCTAGATAAGAGTTGGGGACAGGCTAGAGCAGCATATGTACAGCTCATTGGTCCTGGAGAAAGCAGAGTCCTTTATTACCCAATGCAAGGAGATACAGTACTTCTAGGAGCCAGTCCCAACAGGTGCAACTATGGCTACCTGTATTATTGCCTTAGGCTCTTGTAGGAAGACAGCCAGAGGCTCCCTAATGGAACCAGCTGCACATAATCCTCATTCTCATCAAGAAGGCTAGATCATAGGGGCTGGTGGCCTGATCATATCAGGGGCAACCAGTTATTTCACATATCATCAACGAATCCTTTACAAACCAACCACATAGTTACATTTCAAGCATATCACTGGTGCCTGAATCCAACTGTTATATTATAATCCAGTTGCATCATCAAGCTTTATCGCTAAAGGCCTAGGGTTTTAAATACTTTATGGAACAGCCTGATGACCTAAGAGAGAAAGTCTCATTTCACAATAGTATTTACTTGACTGTGTGTATAGGCACATCGCAGGTCCTGGGAAGAAAGGAATTTCTCCAAGAAACTCTAACCAAGACACGGTAGCAATTTCTTGCTGATTTCACTCTGACACTGAATTTTCTTCTCATTCAAATGTGCATTCATTCATTCACTCAAATATTTGTTGAGTATCCCCTGTGTATCATGTACTCTCTTAGGGACTGTGGATACCTTAGTGAATAAAACATGTGGCCCAGTTGCCCTGATGGGTGGGCTCTAAACTATACATACTGGTGGGATAAAGTCATCAGAAAAATAGGCCTTAAATAATGATTTCGATTTGGCTTTGGAAGACAGCACTTAATTTTAAGGAAAAACTTCTTAGTTAGGTTTTACTAAATGTGTTAAGTATGTTAGTATTTCTCAATGGTACATAAACTCATGGTGGCAGGAAATAGCCCAGAAGTTTGGGACAGGACTTTGAAGAAATCTTACAATAGATAATCCCTAAGTGGATAAATGAGAGGTGTCAGTAATAGCAGTGGGAATTTGCTTAGGCCCTTTTCCTGGATTTTCACGTCATTGAGAGGAGACGTGCTCTTAAGTTCTCCTTTCGAGGATCGAGGGTGATTGCACGGCATATTGATATTTGAAGAAATTCATTCAATATAAGGCAAATACTGTTTTCATTATGAGTACACAAAGTGGATGTGTTCTAAATAAGGAGTCCTAATCATATATTAACTCATCTATAAAATAGATATTTCCATGTATCTGTCACACTCACTTGATTTTAAAGTTATTTTCTGCCAGGAAAAGCAAATAAAATCCATCCTGCCTAATTGTGGCCTGTAAGATTTCTCTCTGAAGCGCTCTCCATGTCCTCCATTTGGTTTCTTGTAGAACTTCCCTACTGTTTGTAGATCACCCTTATCAAATATTAGTCCCACAGAAAACTTTGCTTGTGCCCGAAAGACTCAACACATATGAACTTCCCCAGAGATCTAAGGAAGACTCTGGCTACCTGCTTGGACTCCGTGTCCTCACTGGTGTAGTGTTTCTGGTCTGGTTACTTGGCCTTAGTCCTGCCCAGAATCCCCACCCAGGTGCAGAGAGGGCCATTGTTAGTTGTCTGAAACTCCTCATGTTGGCTCCTCTTCACAGCAACCCCGTGTGGTGGTCTTATCTCTATTTTAACATGAGGAGACTGACACATGATCAAGTCACATGGCTAGTGCTTCCAAGGCGAGTACTTGAACCTGGGTCTATGGTTTCAAAACGTGGGTTCTAGGACCAGCCACTTCTGCCTCTTGTATTTCTAATAATTAGATAATGTAATGATGGTATCCTTCCTTATGATATTATAAGCAGCCAACCAAGAGGACAGATGACCCTAGAGGCCATGGGACTGATCACTGATTGTCTGGGGGCAGCTTACCTAGAATTCTAGGTCCAGAAAGACCCATAATTTCCTCCTCAGCTCTCTCATTCCCTCTAATTGGAAGATATTGGGACCCCGTCTGCTGCTCTCCCTTCCAGAGCAGTTGTATTTGATTCTCCTAGGGGTTCAGCGAGTATGCCTGGTTTTGTTGACTTTTTTACTCTTAACTTTTTGCAAATTCTTTCCAGGTCCTGTTATTGTTGTTTTGACAAATTGCCTTTGAATTCTTTATTTTTTTTTTCTTTTTCACAGTCCCTGCTCTGGCCAGTGACTGGGTGACTGACTCCCTAGTTGGCCTCTTTGCTGACAGCAGGTCCACAGTGTATATGCTCACCTGATAATTTTCCTGCAGGCTATGAGATTCTTTCATTCAGGGGCTCTTTCTTGCTTCAGATCAGGTTTCCCATTTTAGCATTCAGAATCTTCCTCCAATGCCAGTCTGATTTTGGATGTTGAACTTACTCCTGCCTCTGTTTTTCTGCTTGGGCTTTTAGCCCACATGTTCTAAGTCTCAGCCATATTTCAAAGTTTATTTCCTCCAAAACTTCTATCACACTGACCTTTAGCTTTTCGAATTTCCTTTAGAACCAATGGTAGTGGTCTCGCATATGCTCTTTCTCTTCCGAGAATACCTTTCCTCCTGTTTCTCACTTAGCTTTCCTTTATTTATTTATTTATTTATAAAAAGATTTTATTTATTTATTTATTTATTTATTTATTTATTTATTTATTTAAGAGAGAGGGAGAGAGGGAGGGAGAGTGAGAGGGTGAAGCAGACTCCCCATGGAGCATGGAACCCAATACAGGGCTCGAATCCAGAACCCTAAGACCATGACCTGAGCTGAATCAGATGCTTAACCAACTTAGCTTTCCTTTAAAACTCAGTCTAAGGGGTACTTGGGTGGCTCAGTCAGTTAAGTGTCCAACTCTTGTGTTAGGCTTAGATCGTGCTCTCAGGGTCATGAGATCCAGCCTTGCATGGAGCCCTGCGTCTGGTTCCACGCTGGGCATGGAGTCTGCTTAAGATTCTGTCTCTCCCTCCCTCTGCCTCTCCTCCCACACTTGTATGTGTGTGTGAGCTTTCTCTCTCTCTCTCACAAAATAAATAAAATAAAAATAAAAATAAAAATAAATAAAACTGAATCTAAGCCCCATCATTTCTACCAAGGCCCCTCTGATGGCTCTTGCTCTGTGATCCCATAGCACACTTGTGTTTACCACCGTTGTAGAAGAGCACATTGTATTGAGATGGTTTATGTCATCATCTCCCCTTCCAAACAAACAGAACATAATAAGAACATAAGTCTGGCCCAATCTTGTATTTCCAATTGGCAAACGTCCTCCATGCCGTGTGTCCCAATACGAGTGAATCTTGTTATCATTGGTTTGTTGAGGTCTATGCAGCAAGTCCTACTGCTCTTTCTTGCCAACCTCCATTCTTCCTCTCCTTGGCTTTTGGCTTCTTGCCTCATTTCCTGATGATGGCTTCTCACTGACTGAATCTGGATATTGAGCTTCTGGTCTTGGACTTGGTTTTCTCTTGGGTCTGATTACTAATTTCCACTTCCAGTGAATTTACACCCAGTTTCTCTGGGTAACAGCTCAAAATAGTACAGAATTGCCTTGGCTCTTAGTACCAACCAACAGACCAACAACACTCAGGTCTGGTTCATCTCACACTGTGAAAAAGAACTGGAGAATGTACCCAGAAAACACAGGTACTGTAATCAGACAGTGAAAAAATGATGAGAATATGGGAAGGTGTGAAATAGACAAAAAGCAGGATCGTATGTGATGATTTAATTTTGTTGTGCAGACAGCAAGCACAGGCTACTGCAGGAAGGGGAGAGTTCCCTAGACAAGCGTTGGCAAGAATGATCAGAGTCCAACTTGGATTGGTCTTGGAAGGCTGGATAAAGGCCGTAGATGTAGAGAACCTCCAAATGTGCTAGTGCAACGGAGAGTGGAATGTCAAAATCTCAGCTGGTCTACTCTGTGTCATAAATGTCAACCAAATCCACATTCAATGCAACTTTTGGTTTCTGGTTGTTTCTGAAGATTTTCTTTGATCCTTTCTTGTCTTTTCCTTCCTTCCTTCCTTCCTTCCTTCCTTCCTTCCTTCCTTTCTTTCTTTCTTTCTTTCTTTCTTTCTTTCTTTCTTTCTTTCTTTCTTCTGTTATGTTTTGCTGATTTTCCTTAGTGATATGTTTGGATTTCTTTCTCTTCATTCTTTGCATATTAGTGTTTTTTAAAATTTAATTTAATTTAATATTTTAGTTAATTAATTTATTTGAGAGAGAGTGAGAGAAAGAGATCATGAGCAGGGGGGAGGGGCAGAGGGAGAGGGAGAAGCAGACTCCCGGCTGAGCAAAGAGCTCGATGCGGGACTTGATGCCAGGACCCTGGGATCATGACCTGAGCTGAAGGCAGATGGTTAACCAACTGAGCCACCCAGGCATCCCTATTAGTGGTTTTTGATATATAGGTACTATTAGGTTTGTATATAATCTCTCCTACATGTAGCAGTCTATATTAGGTTGATGATGGTTGAAGTTTGAACCCATTCTTTACTCTTATCCTCCCCACATTTTAGGTATATGTTATTATATTTCATATCCCTTTTATGTGTGTGTGTGAGTTCCTTGACTGATTTTTTCCAGAAACATTGTGAAACTTTTGGTTTCTGGTAAGAATCATCACTTTATTGACTTCTTCATTTTGCATTTATTGCTCTCATCAGCACTGGGTGGTGACTTTATTTTGGGGCCATTTATCACAAATGAAATTTGCTACAGTGACTATGAATTTGAATTCTGGTTTAGACCTGGGTTAAAATCCTGCCTCTTCTATTTCCTGACTGGGTGACCTCAAGCAGATTTCTTAACTTATCCACCCATTAAATGGAATACTTCCCATAAAACTCTTAGCGCAAACCACTGCGTCCACAGTAAACACTCAAAGGTAGCTATTATTATTGCTAGTTTTGAGAATTACAATGTGGAAGACAATTAGTGGAGAACAACACATTTCCCTTGCAGTTTCGACGTTGGGTGGCTGGAGAGACTCAGTCACTGGTGAGCTAATGGTTTTCACTCACACACCCGTGGTTAGAAAATTTATGGCTTAGAAAAATTATCGATTATATGTCATGAGCCATCAGAGTCATGCAAAATCATTTGAAATCTCACATGTCCAATCTGCCAGAGCTGAGGGTCTACGGAACTTTCTTCCCTGTCCGTTGGAAAGAACAGCTGGACACCAGGCTGTGTATGCTTGTAAACAATTATTAAATTACCCTGTAGATTTGTCTTCTCTAAGCTGAATGAACTTGGTTCTTTTAACCTCTCCTGAGCATGGTTTTGATTTTCCATCTCTTTAATCATCTCTGTGGCTCTTTTCTGAACCTTCTCCAAGTTCACCATGTCCTTCAATTTACTCGGGAGTGCCTAATTGCTCAAAGTTCTCAGCTAAAAGTTTTCACAACATGGAGTATAACTATACCTTTTCTAGATGCCCTACTGTACTTGAGAAAAGACTTGCCTTCTTTTAAACTGTGCTGTTATGCCACGGAATCATAATAACATCCTACATTTGTACAGCAAAGGTGATTTTCAAAGGACTCTTCCATGTTATTTCCTGGGATCTGCATTACAATCCAGTGAGCTGGGTACAACCATCCTCCTATTTCAGATGAGGACACTGAGATTTGGAAGGACTCAGAGACATGCCTGAGGTCACAGAGACAGTACAAGTTACAGTTGGCTTGGAGTCTAGGGATCCCGTTCTGTAAATGCCACCATTCTTTCCACCACATGCAGGGTCATGCTTATAAACAATTTGTAAAGTACATGGTCATCTAAAGGGTTTTCTACTCTACTTCCTAAGAGCTTGTTTTTTTTTTTTTTCCCCACTGTAGTTGAGTTGGTGTTATTAATTTCCTCCCACCAAACCCTTCCACATGCCTCACTGATCCTTCACGACTCTGACTGCCGTGTGCTGGAGCAGAGTAGCCACTTTGGTGAGAGTGTGGGCTCATGTTGAGTGTGTCCCATGATGAAGGGCCTCAAAAAAACCCTTTTGGAAACACTGAATTTCCCTTCAGTGTGATCTCAAAGTTACTGATCGAGAATTTTACTCCTAATGATGCACACTGCGATGTAAAACTTTGGCCTTTGGGGTTCTTTGCACTGTTTCCAATTAAAAAGAATATTTTCTTGTGGGGAGGGAAAGGTGATTCCAAACCCTCTCCAGTGTACTGCCCTCTTGTACAGTTCACAGTGCCTGGAGCACTTCCTGGGCAAGTGTGGCTTGTCATGTACATGACCAACATCTGCGGAGGGTGAAGACTTCAGTCAGGTGCAAGGCCAAGGTTGGCCCCTTAGATTTGTTTTTCCGCCCTCTGGGAGTGATAAATACTGAATACTAAAGAGATAAGTACATGCGTAATTCTGGAGCTAGAAATCCTTATGATTTATATTCCATCTTTGAGGAAGGATTTAAAAAAAAGCCTACTCACCTATATGTTGGATATTTTAAAAATGAATTCACTGGTTGTTTGACTGAATTAATGAGTCAGTTAAGCCATTTTAATGTATTCCCACACCCATGTGCAACAACAGTTAAAGAGGTTCTTTTTAAATAAAAATGCTGAGGCAGGGCAGTTGACAGAGAAGATTATGGGGAGAGAGAGAGAGAGGTAACAACTCTGCAGTGTTTCCCAAGCTGCACAGGAGAATCAGCTAGACTGGGGAAGGAGGTACAATAAACAGCACCACTCAGCCCAGCCCCTGCCAGTTTGATTTAATTAGTTTGAACTGGAGCCCTATGTCGACTTTATTTGAAGATCCTCAGGCGACTTAAAGCAGCTAGGCTTGAGACCCAGTGATGAGGGAGGGAGAGGAGACGGGAACCTGAGGGTCATTGCAGGCAAGGGTCTCCTATCACATGGCTTGGGTTTACCAACTTTGGGAAGCTGGCCCTGATATTGGGCACCATCATGGTCCTGGGATTGTACCTGACAGCGGCGGGAAGTTTATGGTTATTCACCATCTTAAGGGACCTTGGATCTGAAGACCTAGCTGCATCTTCCATGTCATGTGACCCCAGGATTTCTCTATTGCTCAACAGAGTCGGGGTAGAAGAGCCTGGACTCTACTGCCAATGGATTTCTAGTATCCTCTAGGGAAGCTTTTCCTAAATGACCATCATAAGAATTTCCTGGGATGCGTGTCAAATATGAATATTCCTATACCCTTCCCCTAGAGATTCCGATTCACGAGTTCTGGGATGGGGCATTCTGTGGTCTGTCTATTTCAAAGGACTCTGGCTTAGTCTTATGGGCAAGCAAGTTCAGGGAGTTTAGAACACAGGAGATGCAGTGGAGGAGTTCATTAGGTGTAGAGATTTCCCAAGGCCACCCTAAATCAGATGCAGTAGGTTGAGACTGAGGCCCAGGAATTTTCCTTCTCAATCACTCTCCTGGATTCCTCAGGGAGATCTGAGGTGGGTGATTCCCTTGCTTGTTTTTAGAAATGCTGCCCCAGGAGAGAACTGCTATTTATTAAGGGTCTACTCTGGGCCTGATGCAGTCCAAGCTGTTTTACAACCTTGAGTGCACTCACTCTCCATCTCAGCCTTCGGTCCTCTCGAGCGTGATCAGGACCCGTGATGCCCACGGGTGTCGGAGACCCGGCTGGTGTTCTCAGCGTCCTCTGTCTTCCTATTTCCACACGGCGCCAAGGTCCCTGCAGTTCTCATCACCAAACCTGCCAGCATTATCTATCATTGCTCTTCTAGACAGGTGGGTAAAAAGGAGATTATGTTGGTTTACAGGTCTCATAGTTTGAAAAATGATGGTGTGTAGATTCTCTAGAACTGAGCATTGTTCCTCTCTAATGTCCCATTCAAAGAGTAAATTTGTTATGTGGATTCAGGCTTAAAGGACAATGGTAACGTGATGTCTTTAAGATTGAATTTTCAGGAGCTGCAGAAACATCTATACTGGGCGGCGCCTGGGTGGCTCAGTTGGTTAAGCATCCTGCCTTCGGCTCAGGTCATGATCCCAGGGTCCTGCGATCCAGCCACACAGGCTCCCTGCTTGGCGGGAAGCCTGCTTCTCCCTCTCCTTCTGCTCCCCCTGCTTGTGCTCTCTGTCTCTCTCTGTCAAATAAATATTTAAAAAAAGAGAGAGAAACATCTATACTGGGGTTCTATACATCAACCCCTGATAGTGGGTGGTGGTATAATAGTGAATCTCGATAAAGCCTTCACAGTTACGATAAGTTAGACCACACATATCTTATAACCCCATTCTAAATGGGCTTAAAGACATTTCTTGTTGAAGAAATTGAAGAAGTCTGACATTCTGGTAACTTTCAGGCGTGCTTTGATCAGCTCTCTGGCTTCATTTCTCTGAGATTACTTTGGCTTTGCCCTTCTCTCGTGGTTGGCTTCATTCTCATGGATTCTCTCAGAGGAGGGAATGGCACTAGCAGCTCCTGGCTTTCTGTGGGCAAGCTCCACCTTCCCAGAAGAAGAGAGAATTCCTCTTCCTCCAGTCACTAAACCTAATCCAAGACAGAGCTCTATGATTAACTGAGCTTTGGTTACATACTCATACCTGAACCAATAATTCAACTGACTGACAAAGAGCAACCAGGATCCACCCTGGCAACGGGGTAGGGTGACACCCAATTTTCAGGACTGAACTTGGGATTAGGTAGAATGGATGCTTTGAAAAAAAATCAGCAATATTCATTACAGAAGCCATGTGTTTTTTTCTATTATGTAAATAAGACATTGTATTCCAGATGCATTGCTATTTTTCTACTTTAATAGGAGATGATGAGGGGTGTCTTATTTAAAAAAATAACTTAAATTTGAGTATAGTTGACACACAATGTTACATTAGTGTCAGGTGTACAACATAGTGATTTAACTTCTCTATAGGTTGTGCGACGCTCACGGCAAGTGTAGCTCCCACCTGTGTCCATGCAATGCTACCACAATATCATCGACTATATTCCTTATGCTGTGCCTCTCATCCCTATGACTTCTTCATTCCATAACTGGAAGTCTGTATCTCCTACTTCTCTTCACCCATTTTGCCCACTCCCCTTTCCTCTGGCAACCACTAGTTTGTTCTCTGTATTTATAGCAACCATTAGTTTGTTCTCTGTATTTATAGAGAACAAACTAATTTTCTGTTTGTTCATTTGTTTTGTTCTTTAGATTCCACAAATGAGTGAGATCATACGGTATTTGTCTTTCTCCGTGTGACCTGTTTCACTGAGCATAATACCTTCTAGGTCCATCTATGTTGTTGCAAATGGCAAGATCTCTTCCTTTTTCACAGCTGTGTAATATATATTTCACATCTTCTTTATCCATTCATTCATTGGTGGACACTTGGGGTGCTTCCATATCTTTGCCTTTGTAAATAATGCTGCAATAAACAGAGTGGTGTATATATCTTTTTGAATTCATATTTTTGTTTTCTTTTGGTAAATACCCAGTAGTGGGATTACTGGATCATATGGTAGCTCTATTTTCAACTTTTTGAGGAGGCTCCATACTGTTTCCCACAGTCGCTGCACCAGCTTGCATTCCCACCAACAGTGCATGAGGGTTCTGTTTTCTCCGCCTTCTTGTCAACACTTGTTATTTGTCTTTTTGATTTTAGCCATTCTGACAGGTGTAAGGTGATATCTTGTTGTGGTTTTGATTTGCCCTGACCTGATGTTGAGTGATGTTGAGCATCTTTGTATGTGTCCGTTGGCCATCTATATCTTCTTTGGAACAACGTCTATTCAGATCCTCTGCCCATTTTTTAATTGGATTGTTGTTTTTTAAACATTCTTTTTTTTAAAAATTTTATTTATTTAAGTAATCTCTACATCCCACCTGGGGCTTGAACTCACAACCTTGAGATCAAGAGTTGTATATGCTCCTCCAACTGAGCCAGCCAGGCGCCCCTGGATTGTTTATTTTTTTGATGTTGAGCAGTGCCTTTGAATGGGGTCAAAATCATCTCTCTAAATGCTTTCACTAAAAGTAGTTGGTTAGGACTCCAATTTTTTATGACACACAGCATGGAAAGCCAGCCAATTCCAGCAGAGTAACTAAACCAGTTGTGACTAGAAGCTCTGCCTCCTTTATTTTTATGGACATAATGATAATAATTGCTGTCATCTGTTAATATTATGCTAATTATTTTCCACAAATAATCCTATTGACTTTAAAAAAGTGGATACATTGAAGCAATACTGGAAGCTCAGAGGAGTTAAGTAACTTGCTTTAGATCACACAGCCAGTGAAAGCCTGGGCAAGACTGGGCTGGGACCCAGCTGCACCTGCTTCCCAAAAAGAGAAGCCTATGTTCTTTCCAGTCTGTGTTGTCCTTTAGGAATCTGTGAAACAGGAATCAGAAGTACATGAATCCTGGGGCACCTGGGTGGCTCAGTCATTAAGCATCTGCCTTTGGCTCAGGTCATGATCCCAGGGTCCTGGGATCGAGCCCCACATTGGGCTCCCTGCTCCGTGGGAAGCCTGCTTCTCCCTCTGACCCTCCCGCTGCTTGTGTTCCCTCTCTTGCTGTGTCTCTCTCTGTCAAATAAATAAATAAAATCTTAAAAAAAAAGAAGTATATTAATCCTGCTTGCCTAGGCTCTCATTTCCTTGTTTCTGAAGCAGAAGCAAGAGAACACATCAGTTTCTTGTGGGTGCAGCAAACAACGAGTTGCATTTCCAATTTAAGGAATATTTGTATAAACAATAATAAGATATTAAAATGTTGAAGCAGTAGAAATGTTTTTAAGAGCCAATGTCTGGAGACTAGAGTTTCTCCACAGCTATACAAGGCACGGTTAATGGGCTGCTTTTCTACAGTATCTTCAGAGGAAGCAGACAGAAACACAACACAACCACAAAGGGGTTTGAACACAACTTCATTTACTTATTTGTCTGTTTTTAACATAAGAAACGGGAGATGCTAGCTAAAGGAGTTGTCAAGAAACAGCAGTGGCCCTTCAACAGATGAATGGATAAAGAAGATGTGGTCCGTATATACAATGGAATATTACTCAGCCATCAAAAAGGATGAATACCCAACTTTCACATCAACATGGATGGGACTGGAGGAGATGATGCTAAGTGAAATAAGTCAAGCAGAGACAGTCAATTATCATATGGTTTCACTTATTTGTGGAACATAAGGAACAGCATGGAGGACATTAGGAGAAGGAAGGGAAACATGAAGGGGGGGAAATCAGAGGGAGAGATGAACCATGAGAGACTATGGACTCCGAGAAACAAACTGAGGGGTTTAGAGGGGAGGGTGGTGGGGGGATGGGTTAGCCCGATGATGGGTATTAAAGAGGGCACGTACTGCATGGAGCACTGGGTGTTATACGCAGACAATGAATCATGGAACACTGCATCAAAAACTAATGATGTGCTGTATGGTGACTAACATAACATAATAAAATTAAATAATAATAAAAAAAGAAACAGCAGTGACTATCAGGTTTCTGTAATTGGCAAAAGTGGGAGTGTTACACACATAAACAGGTTTGATGCAAAATCCTACGGCTGGTCACCCCTTCTGAGAACCTCACTAAACTGCCCCTTTTCCAGCAGAAATATCCCGCCAGCCAAGGAGGCCTGAATCCGTCTCCCAAGGCACATCTGTTTTCACTCTCTACCCCTACAATTTTACATTTCCTAGATTGTGGTACAGAAAATGGGACGAGACAATTTAGCCCAATCGATTCGCAGCTACTAATGTCTTTTAGTAGAGTTGGGTGGGGGGATCCTAATTCTCATTTACCTTTGGAAGGTGATATCCACTTCTTAATGACTTGAAATTTAAAAAAAAAAAAAAGGTCTTGCTTTATTTGTTTATTGAAGACTTTCCTTGTCAAAGGCTTTTTTTTCTCTGAGGAAGATAAGTTTGTGGAGGGGAGTGGAAGAGGAAGGAGAAGTCATTCTGGCATTTCTTGTTTCCAGAATGCCTGGCCTAGGTAAGGAAGGAGGAGAGGAGGGGCCTCAGAGCATTTGGGAGTTTACCAGAGAGGAGAACCGGATTGCAGATGGGCCGAGAGACTTGCGATTGTCACCATGCTGGAGAAAAGGAGGTGCTTTGTGCCTTCCTCAGTAAGTTATCTACTCTGCAATACTTTTCCAGCAACAGAACTGACGCAACAAATAAATTAATATGTTGTTATTAGGCAGAGACATGGAACAGCCGGGAAACTGGGGTGAGGGCAGAGGGCAGACGTGACATGCTTTCAGTGAGCTAGGAAACAACAGGAAATGAACAATGCTCCCTTGAGAACATTGCATCCGAGGAACTGTACTGGCCATTAATGAAGGGCCATATCTAGGGGCTGGTAGAGATGGGAAGACATTGCATCAACACACCTGGATGACTTCATATCATGTCTGTTGTCTCATTCTTATAAGGTAAAAGTCACGTTTTTAAATGTGAAGACATTGGGGGCATAATTACATAGAACAGAATTACCCGGAGTTTAGAAAGTAATCTTAAGAACTTGGCATTATTTGAAAATGCTTGCAAAGGCCCTAGGATTTCCTTAGGACATTGAAAAACAAAAACAAAATCCAAAAACTAACTTCATATGTGTAGTAAAATATTGTAAGTTTGCCCCAAGGTGTAGGTTTCATAAAGGTTTGGAAGAACTACCAAATCCCAGATGCAATCCCTTGGGTCCTTCACTTTCTCTAAGGAAAAAAAAAATAAAGGCTAAATCTCAGTTGAGGCCTGGGAGTATTC